TTGGATGAAATTGAGAGTGAATGAAGTCTAAACTGGAAACAAAGTGATGGATGTTCACAGTGAGAGGCGTCCAGACTTTAAAACATGGAGCAGCAGGTCCGGTTTTGTTTTGAGTGTCCTAAATATTGATTTAGATGCAGAATAAACCAAAGGAGGTTGTTGAACGATCACGAGTCGAAGTTAATATGTTTTCTAAAGATGGAGTTTTGGTTTCAAGCAGATTCGGTGTCGGTACCAGATACCTTCATGGACCAAAGGGCTGATGGTGGTGGACGGCTCCTCTCTCTTCTCTGCAGGACAGAAAAGTTCAGAAGATCTTTTGGACCCACAGACATCAGACTTTATAACTCTTCTGTTAATAGTAGATGACTTTTTAGACATGACAAGTGAGACGACAGACAATTGAATTTTGGGGATCGATAAAGTTCTTCTTCTTCTTGTTCTTTGATGTGTTCGGACTGTCAGATCAGCTCAGGTTCAGCAGCACCTGTTGAAGACGTCACACTACGGCAAGTCCACTCAGAAAAACTAAACTACGTCCATTTAATAAGTCAGATGTGCTCAGTTAAAAGTCACTCACAGTTTTCTTTATTTCCATTTGTTCATTTAATTAACCTCAAAATTTTCTCTCCATAAAATACAGAGATTTACAACTTACTGTAATTTTTAGAAAGCTTTAATTTCATATGTTAACTTTTACAAAAGAAAAGAGAACAAAAACAGGGTCTCTGTTTATCTGTAGATAGTTTTGCTTTTATTCCACATTTCCTAAAAGACGTGTTAGTCCAGCTGTCGTAAATCCCCTTTGATAAGTAACGATAGTTTTCTCCAAAGAACAACAATCCCATGAAACCTAAACTTGTGAAAACCGCCTCCGTAATGTCCGGACCGACCACAATCTTCTGCGTCATTCGAACCAACTTCCAGCCAATCATAAAGCATGATGTCACCCCCAACACATCTGGTACCTACACCGGGAAGGTTTGGGGGGATTGTTGTTAAACTTGAGAGGGATCTGTCAGTCTCACCTCTGGAGCTTCAATAAGTGTGTCTCGTACCGTCTTTAGCGTTGGCCTTCATGCAAAACTGCTGAGTTGAGGATTCATGAGTTTGAAAACTTCTGCATCTTGGAGAGCGGTGTCCAACTTTGACAAAAACCTCCTCGCTGCTCTTCGTCAGCCCCAGACTCATTCTGTGTCAATGTTAGCAGTGGCGTATCCAGGAATTTTTGACTGGGGTGGCCAAAAAGGGACACACAGCTAGTGTGGGGTGGCCCAGGGCAAACCTCCCACAGGGGGCGGGGGGTTCGATCATAACGTCCAACCTCTCTCCCATGATTTCCTGTCTCATGTCAAATAAAGGTGTCTCTTATCGTAAAAAAAGTCTCTTTTTAAAAGTCATTTTTAAAATTTAGTATCCCTGGGGGAAATGTAATTCAATCACTCAATCAATCAGTTAGTCAGTTAACTTTGTAGTAGGTGAATAGCTATACCTACAAACATCAGGCAGGATCATAGTCAATTTGGGTCATAAGAAAATGGTGAACAAAATGATTACTTATATCCAATACATAGGTTTATTTTTACATGCCTACCACTCCTGAAACTCACTTTAACAAACACAAATTGCATCTCAAGCATTTGTGGCCTATTTGAACGTCTAGAATCATGTAAACTGTGAATGAATTTATTGATACAAACGAAAAGGAAGAGAAAAAAGTCTTCAACCAGCCCTAAAATCACGGAGCATATGCTGTAAATCAGGGGTTCTCAACCTTTAGTGAGCTGGGCCCCCCCAAAGGTGGTTAAGTGCAGTTGAACCTGGTTGCAGCTAGAGGAGTGAGAGCGCCCTCGATATGACGATGTTGAAATCACAGTTTTGTCTTTGTAAGTGCAGGTAACACTGTCGCATTTCTACTTTTAACGTTTATCCTCATCGTAACGTAGATTTTGTTTCTGTTTTAATTTGAATCATCTAGTCTTTGAGTTTTTATGTGTTTGTTTGCAGAGGTGTAGCTCGATTGTTTTGGGCTGGAAAACTGTCAGCTTCCTCTACTCTTCTATTAACAGACGGAGAAGTGTGAATCAGCGAGAAGCTCCCACTTTGACGGTCCACCACACGGCCTGTTTACATCACTTTCACTTCTTTTACAACCAGGTTTAAAATGCAGAACATCTCAGCGTAGTAACTTTGCTCTGATTGGTAGTAAAGAGCGTCGATTATATAACCACAGTGGCGACTCATCATCAGCTTCTTTTCCAGCATGTTCCCTGAGTGCAGCGGGGAGAAAGGCAGTCTTTGTGTGGTTATATTAAGTCACTAATCTGCAGAGTCAACAGACGGAGGGTTTTTCTGCCCCGTGGTTGTGTGGCAGCCGTCCTGTTTGCTGTGATGGCTGCCATGGGACTGCTCGTAAATGTCTTTGTGGTTTCCTCTCATTCTCTTCTTCCCAAGCCCTGCATGAGTGTGTGTGTGTGTGTGTGTGTGTGTGTGTGTGTGTGTGTATCTGATGGATATCTGCCGCTTTAAATGAGAGGTTCTCTCCAGTGGTAGTACTCTGGGGTTTTGGCCCACAGCAAATTATTGCCCCCAATATACTGAGGCTCTATTGCTTTTTCACCAAAACCATCTGCAGCTGTGAGTTCTGCTGCTGCTGAGGAGTCAGAGGCTGGAAAACCAAAACAATTCACTCCAAGTGCTGTTAATGGACAACAAAGCTGCAGAGTCAGAGATACTTACGTTTGTTCTCCGTCCATCCTTCTCTCTCTCTCTCTCTCTCTCTCTCTCTCTCTCAGGTAGAAATACATGAAAAGCCGAGGCGGGGAGAGCAGCAGCAAAGACCTCTGGGAAACAGAACTGAGCAGGCATCAGTAGCTGTGTTTACATGGGCGCAAATAATCGGGATAAAAGTGCGTCATGTAAACATGTCAATCGCAAGATTCTGATCCAATTCGGATCAATCAGAAAGATATTGTATTCCAGTCAAGAGGGGTGGTTTATGCCGATTGCTAATCCGAAGCTTGTCCATGTAAACATTTATTCCGATCGTGATTCTCTAATCTGACTCGGTCTTCATTCTTTATTTACTGAGGTCAGTTCAGGAGGTTTCAGTATTAATACTCTGTCATGAAACACAACTGCAGGTGTCGTGTCTGCTGGGCGACCGTTTTCTGCATCCCCAAAAAGAGGACACTACTATGTGGAGCAGTCGCACGCAAAATTTTGAGGGTTTTTCGGGTCGGTGGAGTGTTTTTTTACGTGCCTCTAACTCAGTTAGTCCACACCACACAAACTCAAACCTTCCATACAAAACCACAGACATTTGACAGATTTTATGAACTCCTCCAGGACAGCCCCCAAAAACGAGGACATGTCCGGGTAAAAGTCGATGTACGGTCACCTTACCGTCTGCTCCTCTGATGACATAACGAGGCGTACATACAGAGTGATGATGTCGCATCTGCACGCACAGAGCAACCTTTGACAGAACAGTAAAGCAAGTAAGCAAGAGCGCCATCTAGAGACAACATTTGTAGGGGGGAAAAAACCTGAATTGGATTAAGTGAGACACTACCACGTTTGTTGGTTTGTTGACGGCACAGACGTAAATACAACTTTTTTCTTCTGTGGTTGTTTTAGCAAAATTAGAAAACTCTGCGCCTGTCCAAATACTTCTAATCTGAATAAAGCTTGGTGCATGAATACGCCGTCATGATCAGATTATTAGATTATTATTATTAGAGTCGTGGATGTTGAAATGACCGAACTCTAGATCCTCAGGGTTTATTAAAGACACAGATTCCTCTTTAAGGACCACCTACGTACTCGAGGACGGCTCTCTGCTCTCTGTGGTCCTCAGAAATGGGACGACTGATCCAAACCCTTCACTTCAGTTTAGTGCTTGAGGTGAAATAGATATCAATAATGATGACAATACCGCTGCTGCTGCTGCTGATGATGATGATGATGATGATGATGATTCGTTTCAGTTGTATGGAGACGATGATACAAGAAAGACATGCACATCGTCTTTTCGTACTACATGACAGCATTATATATTACGCCTATTGGACTTGAAGCATTTTGTGTCCAGATCTTTGCCTGTTTTGTACTCGATGAAATTCAGCACCAATTCACAACAGTCCACCCAATGTAAAAAAAGGACCAGATTCAGCTCTGTCCTGTAAGATCAGACCCGCTCTCTTCTCATCTTCAACCCAGAGTGAACTTCCGTTAACAGGCTGAAACTTAGACTCATGTTAGACAATCATCCGCTGAGAGTTATCTTGGTTTAGAGATGGAAAGAGGTGAGACTGATGAAGCAGCTGGAGAGCAGGCTGGTCCATGGTGGCTAAATGTCTGCAGCAGCGATCCAGAGGAACCTACAGGATGATGGAGCTCAGAGACTCCCAGAAAAGACTGTTTGTTAGTGACTCTAACGGGACATGAAGGTTCAAAGTTAGTGACGCAGACCGACAGAGGAGAGATAAGGAGGGAAAGGTCCAAGTCTACAGCAGCAGAACTAAACTCAGCGTAGACTTTTGGTCCCGCACGACACGAACATCTGTCTCCTGGTTAAAGTGTGGTGAGTTTCTTGTTCTATTTATCACACCCCACAAATTCCTCCCCTGAGTCGTGATAAAATGTCGACCCTCAGCGTCGACTTTTCATATAAAAATGTCATGAAAGAGAAAGATGGAAAGCTGCAGAGTGGAGAGAGGGACTCTTACTGTAAAAACATGAATATGAAGCGAGCTGGTGCTGAAAACAAACGCGGTGCCAACGAGATTTTTAGAGCACTTAATAAAGTATTTGATGAAGTGCGTAACTAAGTGCCGTCAGGAGTCCTTGTGAAAACACATCAGTGTTCATTAGAGCAGGTACAGCATGTTCCCAGGATCAGGACGGCTAAGTCTGGCCTGGGTAAGAGTCCTGGGAACGTCCCAGTCCATGGTTTCTGAGTGGGTGGCCTCCTTCAGATCTGCACATATATATATTTTTTTAATGCCATGCATCTCCTTAACGCAGGAATATACATTAGCGAGCCGCACACACACACACAAAATACACCAAAATACAATGCCTCCATTTATCGTGAGCTTTTATCAGTTAATATGAAAATGTTTCCCCCTGTGGAAACCACCAATCGGCCCACCACAAAAATCCCCCACAAACTGGAAACCCAACTGGCAACCGCTTGGAACAATCAACCACAAGACGTCACAGAGCTGTTCAGGGGGCTTTAGGGCAGAGATTGAGAGGGGGATAAGAGTGGAGTGATAGAGGAATAAAACCAGGGACAGGGAGGCAGGGGAGGGGCTGGATTCTCAGCTCCAGATCCTATTTTATGAACCGTGTTGTTCTTTGAGCGTCTGAAAATCAAGTTTGTAAAACGGCCGTATAGATCTAAAGGAGGAACGCTCTGAGAAGATAAAGACAGAAAACAGGAAGTCAACAAATCAACCCTCTAACGTCACATCCATTACATATCCAGGTGACGGAGAAGCTCCACCTCCTGTAGATCCCCTGCAGCTCTTCTCTTATCAGAGGGTTAACTCCTCCTGCCGTCTCTAATTTGTCAAACTCAGCACCTCATTTTCAACAAGGCGACCAGGATGTCTGTATCTGCTCCATCATCTCTAACAAAGAGTCCTGCTGCTCCGGCCTGAGGCTTTATATCACCCCAACCAGGTCCAGCCCGTCGTTACGGCCTTCCCTCCCCTCAGGTGACAGTTGACCCACCTGAGTGCATGAGTGCACAGGTCAGTGACCACCTCGGCGCTGACAAGATATTATCCAGGTTAACGCCAGATTTGTTTCACGCCATGATGAAGAGCAGAGAGGGAAAGTAAAATCATGAAGGGACAAAGTGTTCAGAAGATCTGATGGGGCGTTCACATCGAGCCCGAGCAAAATCATTTACTCACTTTATTCGTACAAATCTAGACGCATGAATGGATAATATTTACTCGCTTTATTCGCGACAATCATTTAGGTCCATTCGTGTGATTCCCACGTCAACAGACTTCTTAAAAGCCGTAGATAGCCATTTATGTAAGGTGACCAGACGTCCCCCGATTTCCTAAAGCTGTCCCCGAAAATGTCCCTGATTTAAGCGTTTCATGAATGAGAACCAAAATGTTGCGTGTGGGCTCGAACAACGGTTATTACAGTAGCCGAATAGGTAGGAAGCACAAGTTAGCAGTCCTGAACAACAGTTCTTACGGGGGTTATTACAAAGGTGTGCGCTGCTACTGAAAAGTACCGAGATGTTGTCTGTGATCACGCCCTCTAATGTCCCCGGATTTCATTACAGAAATCTAGTCACCTTACGTTTATGCCAACTTCAACAATGACCCTTGCCAAGTCAACCAGCGAGATCAAATGATAGACAACAGTTTTTCACGACTTACCGGATAATCTGACCTCCTGTTGGGAGAATTTTCTTCAGCCTTTAGGGCGGTGGAGCTCTGTCACTCAGATACCAGGGATACGTTGGTGTTCGATTCCTGGAGCCGGGGGCCTCCGACAACCATCCTCAACAAAAAACCTTGTACACGGCTTCGTAAAATACGTTGTCCTTTGCTCTTACCCTACATGGACTCTTCTTCAGAATGCTTGGAAACTTGGACGACTATAAATACTCGAACAGTCTCAGACCAATCTTTGTTACACTTGTGACCTGATGAAGCTGTAACCCAGATCTGCAACCGGTAAAGCTTGTCAAGCTGACCGTTCATGTGGACCTTCCATTCTTTCAAGTGTGAACCTGGGCGAGGCATCCTTACAGCTCCTCACTCACCTTCCTCCAGACGAGCTCCTGTTTATTCCCACTTTATTAAAATAGCTGTGGATACGAGAGAGGGGGAGAGTCTCCATCCAGCATGGTAGAGGTGAACCACGTTCAGTGGACTGCTGTTTTTTTTTTTGTCGTGGAAGACTGCAACCGTTGGAGATGTAGGTGTCACCATGTCTGGGTCTCCTCCAAAGCTGCGCCCGGATGACGGTCGTTTACAGCGGTATTTTCGGGTTACCTGAACCCAATTTGACAACCTGTTGGTGAGGGTCGCTGCCAGGATATCCCTCCAGATTACCGTTTACAGACGCTCTAACCCAGCGGCAGATGGATAATATGTTTACATACTTTCACACCGGTGAAGATCTTCTGTTTTCATGTGTCACCCGGGAACCTTTGTGCTCACTGGTTACCGTGACACGAATATCTGCTCAAGTTGAAATATTTTCAACTCCCCTGAATTCGGGTCATTTAATTATCCGCTCAATTCGTCTAATTTGCATCATTCCAGTATCAGAGTAGTACGAGCGTCTAACCGCATCTTTGCATTGACTTAACATGTAATTGATCCACGTGAATGATTTGACGTGCGCCTCATGAGTCTCAGACTAAATCGAGTGGAGCTCCATTAGTGATGGAGGGAGAGCGCTGACTCGACAGGAAGTTACTTTCTCTGAGCTGTTTTGTCAACAGGTGAGGATGTGATCGCACACTTGACTTGTGTCGTCCTCTTCAGCGCTCCCAGGACAATATAGAGAGTGAGAAACCTGTGGGACAAAGAGAAGGAGGTCTGCAGACGTGTTGATGTGACAACACCGTCCTCTGACAGCCTGGATTGTTCCTGAGACACGGTTCAGATAAGGAGGTGATCGGGATTCCTGATGTTCGTCCGAGTGAGAAACTGAGAACGAGACACCGAATATTCACTGCGAGATATTTCAATCATTTCTCTAAAACACAGTTAAAACCCGACGTTCAGCGGGTACATGGTGGCTTAATCTTCCTTTTTGTTGTTGTTGATAAAACTCACCAACACTTGTGGACTCCTCTCCTGTCTCCTCTGTCCTTCTCTCCTTCTCCTCCTTACACCCGGCGGGCATGAGCACACTTTATGACCGCTCCTCAGAAGTCTCCGCGCCCTAATCCTCACTTGGCTTAAGAAACAGAGAGACACTTTGCTACTTACTTTCCCGCCGTTTGATCCCACATATTGAGCTCTTCTGGTCGGCAGGGAGGAAAGAGGGAGTGAGGCGGAGACGGCGGACGGGACAGCGGTGATTGCTGTGACTTTGATGATATAAAAACAAGACGTAAATGTATTGCCAAGATGGATATCTTTTGTTTTGAAGTCCGGGATGATTCGTCTCGATCCCTGGATCCCCGTTTTGATGCTGTTCTTATGTATCGTGCAGAGAGAGGGATGAAGAGCGGAGGGGGGAGGATGTATGATATGAATTCCTGTAGGGTAGGACAGCTGTATAAAAGCCGATGGGCAAAAAACTCGTAAAGAGCGATATCCCAGCACGAGAGAGGGGTGGAACTTTGATCTGGGCTCACAAGATGTTACAAATCAAAGAGGGAGGAGAGAGCGAGGCGGAAATAAGGCCTCATGTCTGAAATTCTCCGGCGAATCTCCCTGTGCCCGCAGAGGACCGTGGAATTGAAGAGAGGACAGAGTCGTGATAAAAACATTTTCAAACAAAAAGTATGTGAGGACGGACGCCGGAGCGTGATTGGTTCAGGAAAGACAATACCGAACCCCCTCTGGTGAGAGCATCTTGAAGGAATCCTGATCTCGGTGGAAGGCAAGCTGGCACCTGACGGCCGGACAAAGCAGAGGTCAGGGGTTGTGTGTCAAAGGTCAGGAGCTGAGGCCTGATGTGGAGGCAGGAGAAAGAGCCGTGAATCACCTTAGTTCATTTAGTCTCCTTCTTATTAACCGTCTGACTCCTTGGGAGGCAGGAGGGCAGCTGCTGCTTTCTCCTCCAGGAAAAGGTTTGAGTGATTGTTGTACTTCTGTTTCATCTCCTCTGTGATGATATTCTGAAGAAATCAGTGTTTGGACCGATGCAAACGCCTGCATGCTCTAAAACACACAATGAAGATGCTGATATCCGTCATAATCCCAGTGTTACTCAAGCTAGAAAGAATGCAAACATTTGCATGGTAGCGCTTAACACAAAGTCCAGCTGGAGCGAACAGGAATGCCACATATGAGCTCTAAAGCGTTTCCAGACAGTCTGGTCCAAACCTCGTTGGGACTTGCCCTTTTACACATGTGGTACACAGACTGACCGTATCTGACGCTCTCTAACCTGCTGGAAGTTCTCCGATGGATGCAAGAGTCGGGCCTGACCAGAGTTTGTAGAATTATTGGTGACAGCTAGGGCTGCACAACTAATCGATTATTCAATATGATGTGATTTTTATACAGAAGGATACTTCAGGATACAACGAAATTAGATATGATAAGATGTGATTCAATGAGACGATACTAAGGCTGCACGATAAATCAGTTTTAAGTCGTAATCAGATTTTGTGATTATGACGATGGTAAGAAATACTAAAATTAACGAATCAATTTTCCGCTCTATCATGCCACCATAGGCTCCTCCCCCTTCCTGTCTAAACAAACATGGTGTTTACTAAAGAAGGCGATAATTTCGTGGTTAAATAGGACAAGAGCGAGTCAGTCGTGTTGAATTGGTACGACTTCACAGTTTCAGATGAAGAGTAAACCACTCCCCGCTGTAAAGTCTGTCTGAAGGCGGTATCAACCCGTCACCACGGAAACGAATTCAGGAGGAAACGCTAAAGTTTTTTGTCGTATCGGCGTTTCAGGTGACTGTAAACGGTACTTTTTAAAAACGGGTCAGAGAGTGAATAAATCTGTAAACGACGACCATTTCATCTCCGTGTGGATGTCTATCTGCATCTCTGGAAACGATCATGTGACACACAGAGGAACTCTTTTATGGCGCCAAAACAACCTTTATACACATGCTCTGTACTCTTCTTCTGTCTTTGGTGCATTTCCTGTGCAGCGTTACAGCGCCACTTACTGTCTTGGCATATGAACTGCATTATTTATTTTCAGTGGTTTGGTTTGAGAGATGATAGAAAAACTTTTTATTGAAGTGAAGTTTAATGAAGTTGTCACTGAATAAAAAATTGAAAATCGAATTTTCAGAGAAAAAAATCAGGATTTTATTTTTGGCCAGAATCGTGCAGCTCTAGTGACATCTATGGGTCTGATATCACCTCGACACGTGTTTAATCTTGCATCTGTGCAACGACGGAAAAATAAAGGTGCAAACATCTCTTTAGTTAGTTTTGTTACTTTCAACCTACAGGAAGTAGTTTGCTTCAGAATAAAAGCATATTGCAGTTGCATATTCAGGTTTTCCACAAGTCTCGTCATCAGGATGTGGTTCATGGGACATAAAGTTGGAGGTCATGGTGGCGTTTGATGGCTAACTGGTCAGCTTTTCCACTTGTAGACGTGAATGAGGCTTCAGTTTCTGTCGGTTGGGTTTATTTTACAGCTTCATGTTTTCAGATGTTTGTATTTTTGCTTCAATACATGGGAAAGAATTCAAGTGGGTGGCTCCGTATCCTCTGGGGGTCATATTCTTGATTTACTCAGTGGGACCGACCAGGTTCAATAAAAGTAAAATGATGAACTTTTGTGTAAGTTGTGCGGCAAATCATCAAACTGTCCGTCCGCTGAATGGTTTACGCTCTCTCTCTGTCAACACGTGTCTGTTCTCTTCATGTTCATTCAATAATAAAAGCAGATTTACTATCAGCCCAGTGGCCCCGGACTCCCCCTGCTCCTATATCCCGCTCTCAATGAGCCCCCTTTCCCTCTTTCAACCTATTCAGGTCTTTCTTTTCTCTCAGTTTTAGTATCTCCTCAGAGAACTCCATAACTCAATGAGCTCCATTCAGAGGAGAGAAAAGAGGCCCTGAGGAGAGAAAATTACAGCTCTGATCTCAACGGCGAACGCTTCGCAGGTTAGGACACGGAGGCTGAGGAACACCTCGAGAAGAATTCAGATATTTAGAGTTTAAAGTGTGGGGCAAACTTTGGACGTCACCTTAAACATCTTTCTTGAAAAAATCCATAAAATTGCGGATTTCCCAGTACCTTAAAAAAGTCGCTCGAGGCAGAGGATAGTTCCCGTTTATTTGTACGACACGCTGCTGCTGCTGTTCCAAAGAAGCACCTGCAGTTTGTCAAGGTTTTCTGAACTTTAATGACACGAAAAACGCTTCTTCAGTGGCCAATGATTAACTCGCACACATCAGCTGTCATTCAGTATGTGTTCACTTTGAAACTGCAAACAAAGAACATAAAGCGCAGTCAACAAAAATTACAGCTACCCAGACTCACCGCTCCACCTCAGACCGCCCCTTATATGGCCTACCAGCTTTCAGACACAGCGCCCATGTGACCCAAACAAAGCGAAACCAACGGCAACCAGACAAAAGTCGTTGAACACAGGATAACCAATCAGCAAAGCAACATTACGGCTCCTATAGAGCTGGGCGATAAAACGATAATTTACAGATACTGACATTTACGACAATAACCGACGTCATTTTGCCCATATCAGTATATTCAGTGTCAAATAAATAAATAAATCTAAGTTTTGGATGTGTGTAGGTAGGCTATGGTCTCATGTCCCTTTAAGACGCTGTCCTACGTCAGAGACATGACTCCAGGTGAGGAGATGGAGGACGGAGAGAAAGTTGGAGCGGCTGAAGTAGACGAAGTTAATGTGGGAGGAGGTGAACAGCTGGTGGAGTAGTTATCGTCCATTTATCGTGATATTGATTTCGGGTCATATCGCCCAGCCCTACATGAGACACAGCTGACTTGAGGACACCGCTCTCCCTCTTCAGACCTTTTCTTTGAGCTTTCTGTCAACCTTGTCTCTCCCACTCATCATAATTCCCAAGATTATCGTCTCTTGAGCCTCTCTGAGGTCATAAATTGACCTCATTTCTGCATGCAAACCTCCTGCTAATCCTCTTGTTGTAGCAGCAAAAGGATTTCTGGTGTGATTTCATTGAGGAGAGACGACTTCCACCCAAGAACGGACGAGTCTTATCGAACAGACTGCACATTAAGTTACTGGAAGTTTGTTGTTTGTGGTGTTTCATCCTCTTTTATCTTCTTTGCACAGTTTCTAACCTTAAAAATGTGGAAATTCTCTCAGATGAAAGTTGAATTTTGTTATTTTTTGTCTGTTTTTTGGAGTTGGAGGAATAACTCACAGATGCATTTCTGTTAAACAGCTGTAGTATACATCCATGATAATATAATAATAATACTCCAAAGGATCTGAATAATATCTCTGGTGGTTTCGCTCTCCTCTGGTTTCACAATGGCTCTTAATGGCTTTGTAGTAAATGAGAACAAAACCACAGAGGGATTAAAGAGAGAACATGCCACGCTGACATAAAAATAACTGAGAGAGACTCTGTGACGTCCAGATTAATCTCCACACACGGCTGCTCTCCTGTCAAATAGATTACAGGAGAGTCACAGTTCTGGAGAGCCAAGATGTTACTCGCTTGACTCAGGCGTAGTCAAAGTGCTCCACCTTCATTCAGTCTATCAAAAAGCACTTAACTCCTCCTGAGCTCGCTCCTCCTCTCTGTTCTTATTCCCCCACTCTGCTGCCTCTCTTTGTGTCTCTACAAACACTCAGCGGCAGGCCGTTTAACTCAGGAGCCGCAAAGACAAAAGGTGGAGCTGCGGGAGGTGGAGACGGTGGAGGAGTGATCTGGAGAGGTTGACAGCAGGACGGCTTTAAGAGACTCTAAACAGCTGAGATGAAGTCAGAGCAGGAGGTGGAGGAATATTTGATAGCGATCAGGCAGCTGTTTCCCCCGAGGCTGCAGCGGGATGGAGACCTGCAGCCGTCGGTACACGCTTTACACTCCGGTACAAACAGGCGAGGTCAAAATCATCACACTGCAGCTAGAGAGGAGCTGAAAGTCTGTACTTTATGTTCAGGCAGTCCCACTTCGCCTGCCCACCCACTCATCCCCGACCGTTCCCAACCACTGGAAATAAATCTAACCTCAAAACAGGATCCAACACCGAAACATCAGCCTCAACCGCACGGCTGTAAATCTCAGTGCAGTGAAGCCAAACCTCGGCGCTGCGGCTCTCTGCTGCGTCCAGTGGAGAGGACGAGTCTGCTGGTGGGAGGCCGGCGTGTTTATCTGGTTAAACAAGTGTCCGAACAGCAGCTCTGAAGGACACAGAAGATGATATCAGGGAGGGGAGACCATGAGAAGAAGCTGTTAGTGCTCAAAGACAGGAGAGGATTGGGTTTACATTAAAGTCAACGACATACATCCATGTTGTCGACAGCAGATAAGATGAAGATTCCTCCCAGACCGCAGGAACACTGAGTCTTTGTCCATGAGTGGTCATGTTGAAATGCCTCCACAGTGAAATGGGACGACCCTGGAGGCTTGAATGCGTCACCAGATGACTAAAAACGCAACCATGATTTTTCCTTCTCTTCAAACGTCAAACAGAGTTAAACACGTTTACGACCTGCTGGAGTTTTTACACGATATCCAAACTTACACAGACCCACTGCCAAGATGGCGGCTTTAGAATAATCGACCATGATCCGAAAAAATAAATGCCGCAATATCGCAGGACGGGAAAACGTCGCTGATGTGAGCGCTTGTATTGACAGGATACGGGTTCGAAAAAAAATATTGACGTCTGAAATAATCGCACGAAAAAAACAGTCCTGGGTAAAAACCAAAAATATTTAGCCTGGCTGGGCCGTCCTGTTGCGTGACTCACTTGATGTTCCTTCTAACCACAGTCTGGACTTCGGCCCATAGAGAGCGTGTATTCCCGATACATGCTCTCTGATTGGCCCGGTTATTTTCTGATCAGGAATACACGCTGTCTATATTACTCTTAGCTGCCAAACAGTTACATTTATCAAGCAGCAACTTTAATGGTTAAAGGGTGACCATACGTCTTCTTTTTCCCGGACATGTCCTCTTTTTTGGGGGCTGTCCGGTCTGTTTGGGGGAGTTTATAAAATCCTTCAAATGTTCGAGGTTTTGTTTGGAAGTTTTAAGTTTGTGTCAGGTGGACTAACTGAGTTAGAAGTGTGTAAAAAACACTCGACCCGACCTGAAAAACTCTAAAAATTTACTAAACGTGACTCTGTGACTCCGCCCTGCGTAGTCATGTCGTCTTTTTGTGGATTCAGAATATGGTCACCCTAATGGTTGACAAATGAATCCAGGAGGAAAAGAGAAAAAAAGATGCAGTTCCTTCAGTGTCCACTTGAGGCAGGATCTAACCGCCACGGAAACCTATTAGAACCAATATAAAAATGCTTAAAGTGAACATGTTTACAGCTGCTCCTAAAAACGGTTTTAGTCTCCGTTTCTATACGTTGGTATAAACTGCAAATGCTAAAGCTAACTGTAATAACTACTTCGGTCTAGTACGAGGATAGATAATCTGGCATATCAGCTGTTTTGAAATAAGCTGTACAGAAGCGAGAGTCAGCATTTGTCCAGACTACGCCCAAGTTTGTTTTCCATTTGTGATGAATTCATGTGTTTTAAATTAAGATTGATTAGCAGTTTGACGGATTGACTGATCATCTATTCCTCGCACTGTTGAAAGCCGTGTCATCACTCAACCAGAACCTTAGGATGAAAGCTCGCCGTCTTGAGTGATTCTGTGTTTGTGTAGTCGACTGAAACCCTAAACTCCAAAAAGGGAAATCCCAAACGAGCAGGAAAAGAGAGTACCTCGCCTTCGCCTGTCGTCACCTCCTTACCTCACGCTGCGGCACAGCTAGCTAGCTGGTTAGCAGGTCGCTGAGTCATCTTCTGCTGCCGCCGTTTCGTAAAAGCATAAAAAGCCTCTTCTGCCCTCTTCAGAAGATCAATTTCTTACGTAGTGTTCACAGTTTCTCATCTCAGACACAATACCGATATTCCCCGGTATTAAAAACATAATTATTGCTCATTGGACGGTATCCTGTTTCATGCTAACGTAGAATTTTAGATTAAAGGTTTCAAAACGAAGCAGCAACAAACTTTAAGGTGTTTCTGCAGAAAATCCACCTGAGAGGAAATCAGATCGACTTCATCTCCTTAATGGCTGAGTGAAGGAATCAGGAGGTTTGGTAATCTGATCTCAGATCAGAGGAGCTGAACAGAGTCCAACTTCCATCTGCTTAGATCAGGTTGTACTTGACCTGCGGAGCGTTCAGCATTTTAGCTAGCATGTTGTTAATCTGCTTAACTGAGCTTTAGAGAGATGGAGTTTCTCTCTCTCTCTCTCTGTTTCACACACACACACAAAACCTCTCTTATCCTTCGTCACACACAAAGACACACTTTCACTGTCACTCTCGCAGACACACAATCTGCCCGTCCCCCGTCCTGTGTGTTTTCATTTCCTCCCTCTCACCTTCAGGACCCTGTCACACGGTCTTATCTCCATCTGTCTCTCCTTCCTCGCCGCTCCTCCGTGCAGAAGTTTGCATGTTGGGTATTTAACGTCAGATGAAACTCCAGCGTTTTCCTTTTTTTCATCTGCACAGAGTCGTCTTTGTGCGACTCAAACAGAACCGCTAAATTATGAGTTTGAAGTATTTACACCGACGACCCACTGTGGCGACATTGTGGTCGATGTCTGCACACGGTTTACACCAGCTCCTCCAAGAGCAACACGCCTGCAAAGTGAGTTACGCAGAAGCACGACAAGCTCCCATGAAGTCACCCGTCTGTCTGTCTGTCTCGCCTGCTTTTCGCCGCCACAACCTACAAACATTTGTGTTGTTTTGTTGTGTACTCGGTCAGCTGCTGAAGTGCAACACTGGAAACATAAAGAGCAGTTTGAGGATTGGAGGAGCCGCGGTGTAACGGTGGAGACAGCAGGTTTGTGGGACGCCAGCAGAGTTGGAATCGCCCCGATGGCTTCAGGTTTGGCGAAGGAGCAAAAGACATCGAGCGTTTGCCAAAAAATAAAGCCTACAGTCCTCTCTTTATTTTGCTTTTTAGTAACTGGCGGCTTTTCACAAACCAGAAGGTGTTACGTAAGAAGTATTTCACTAAACCGACGACTGGATCCTGTGTCGACATGTAACAACTGTTCACCATCTCTGAGGATTTACCAGGAGCCACACTGTGATGGTTAACGATAAATTCTGGTGTCCTGGATCTGTTTGTTTTCTTATTTTTGATCAGGCAGAGACGAGAAACATGTGGTCTCCTTTTACACTGAGCCCACAGGTTGGTGCTTTAAGATTAAAGCGGGTTTCACTGTTCGCCAAATCTCTACGAGCTCTTTGTAGGGAGGCGGACATCCCATCTTTGGATGCAACAGGGAAGATATGATATCAATATTGTCTGATACAATAACGATATTGATCCAATATTAGCACAAACTCGTGCATGATAAATTTTGCATTTAGATGCAACATCTTTTTCGGACTTTAATGAAAAATACTGCCGACATCACTCCTACTCCTTGGTACTTTGTTTTTACCTTAGTACACACTGTTGTGATAACGTGGGCTAGATACAGATACAGATACAGATCTAGATACAGGTGCTGGAACGGAGTCTGGAATGGACCGCTTGTTTAGGAGTGCTGATATCGGAGATTTTAGATGCAGGCCGATAGAGTCTGACATTCTTTTTTTTTTACTGATATATTGGATTGGAACATCCCTACAACAGAGAGGTAGAAAGTAAGTACCAGAAACGTAAGGGCTTTACCACCAAAGTCCAGGGCCGTGACAACATCAGAACATTCGGTACGTTTTTTAACGTTTTGACACCAGATTCATTTTTCACTTAACAACACAAAAACACCGTCAGAGTGGGCGGAGCCAGGCCTGGATTCAACAACTTGCAGGATTTCAGAAAAACCACAGACTCTGTATTTAACGAAGGGAGTTCTCGACTGTATCTGAGGTATCCCTCCAGCTTTGGGAACAGACACTCTACGCTGACTACTAAGAAGTATAGATCTCAAACAAGATCTCTGTCGAACTGTCAAATTCAAGCTACATCTCATAATGCTGATTTAAGTCTGAGTGGATGTAAACAAACCACGTCTGATGAGACATGATGTTGGTCTGCTCTGGGTTAGCACGCTCTCGACCGCGCCGTCCATCCAAATATAGACACATGTATTTCTCTCAAGAAGAACAAGCGCTCAGTTATTTGGACGCTGAGTCTCACTTCAGCTGATGCAGCAGTTCCTCATTTAACCGTTTGTGGTCTGTTTGCTCCGTAATACTGTCTGTGAAACTGATCATGTTGTCATAGTCTAGCATCTAGTCAAAATGAGTGAGGATGTGTCTGCTTCGTTTAAAGGTCCTGTGAGGAACTTTCTGTTTGTGTTGATTTTGGCGCCCCCTGTGGACAAAGTGAGAATTCCTCGCACTTATCCCGTTCTTATATTCTTCACTTCTGCTGGTTTCGTACAGTAGAAATGTGTATATTTGTAGGGCTGTGAAGTCCTGGTGGACGTATTGGTCGATACGTGCTGAGTCGACAACAATTCTGATTGGTCGACTCGATTTATTTCCACGTCAGTTTACAGTCTATGGTTAATTTCATCAGGAGGAACATACCAAGTGCTAATGGGGGTGTTTTCAGAGCACCCCCATTTCACAGGTAACAGCCTGTCTAAGAACTACCCCCCTGTTTTCACCATTTTGGATTCGCCCAACCCTCTTGAGACCGGCTGGAGACAGGAAGATCGAAGAACGTTGATTAACGTCCGGTGGTTTCCTGAATATTTTCCCTGAATTGCCTTTTGTGTTTCATTGCCTTCTTGTGCTGATATCAGTATATTTTCACCCCGTCAAACTGATTAATCGATTTTTATTTGAAAATTTCAGGGTTTTAGTCGACTAAGAGTTCTTTTGTTTGATTACAGCCCTTTATATATTTTCCATTCCCTCACTAGTAATCCTTCAGAAGAAGTCAGTCTTGTTGCTGATGCTTCTGTTATTCGCCGTTACTCCTGAGGAGCTCTGAAGTGTGTGAGAAGCTGAGATCTGTGTGGGAGGTGTGGTGTTGTAATATGAGGTCACCGTCTCCTTCGTGTCATCGAGCGTGTGCGAGTCACGGGATGAAGTCACCTCTGAAAACAGACTCCTTCCTCCTCGCCGCGCTGATTTTCATTTCCTCCGTTTGTGTTTGAAGTGAAAACATTTTCCCTGAAACGAAACCTTTAAAAAAATCAGCTGTTGGATGTTAATAATCCCTCTGTTGTCAGAGCACACGTCGATTCTCTCAAACAGCAGGGTTTATGTGTGTGTGTCACTCTCAGTTACAAATTCACTCTGGTTTTAGCTTCAGCATTATGATCCTGCAGATAATCTCTCACACACACACACACACACACACACACACACACACACACACACAGGAGCCTGTTCAGGTTGAGATAAATCCTTCAGTCTCTCTAACAAACGTCTCTATCTGATCACCAAACTCGCAGTTTTTTATATAAATAGTTTATTAGTGTCAGTAAAATGTCAGGAGGATCGTTTCTCCTCCTTCTTTTACGCCGATAACATAGAAGTAGAAACAGACAGTGATAAAAATGAGGGGTTATAAAAATAAGAGGATATACGTGTGTGTGTGTGTGTGTGTGTGTGTGTGTGTGTGTGTGTGTGTGTGTGTGTGTGTGTGTGTGTGTGTGAGTGTGTGTTCAGCCGAGGAGGAGTAAAAAAAAAATGTAATCCCAGTCACGGTTTTCTAGATTCCTCCCAGTTCAGAGTCACTGAGCCGTTTATACAAGACGTGGATCATAAGTCCTCTGATATCCCAGAATCCACCTGGTCGATCAGCGTCTGTGTCGAGGAGATTGTTCCTCTCAACTCTTCCTTCAAAGTCACTTTTCTCCGACAGGGTCTCAGGTCCTTTTAAAAACCGTTTAAAGTCTCTGGACGGCAGCAGCAGCAGGAGGAGGAGGAGAGGATGAGGAGGTGTGAAGCAGCTGGAGGAGCTCCTTCATCCTCTGCTGGTCCGTCGCTCTTCACCTGATTCCTGTTGAGAGAGGAGGAGAGTCAAAGTGTTTTAGTCTCTTAAAGGAAGCTGGTGTTTTATATTAGAGCATTATGATCCTTACGGGGCGTTCACAACAAGGGCGAGAAAAATCATCTACTCGCTTCATTCACATGTGTCTAGACACGTGAATGAAAAGTATTAACTCGCTTTAATCGTGCGAATAACTCACTCGATTCACAAGACAGTGCTCTTTGCTAATTCAACTTGCAGGATCCGACCTCCTCACTCTCTTTTCTCCAGGTGAGCTCCTTTTTATTCCTGTTTTTATTAAAAAAGTCGTGGATACGAGAGAGGGGCGGAGTCTCCATCATGCCTGGTAGGAGTGAACCACGTTCAGCTGATCGCTGTTTTGTTTTTGTTGCAGAAGGACCACAACCGTTGGAGATGTAGGCGTCTCCGTGTCTGGGTCTCCTCCAATAGCTGCGCCCGGATGACGGTCGTTTCCAGCGGTATTCTCTGGTTACCTGAACCCAATTTGACGACCTGTTGGTGAGGGGCGGTGCCAGGATATCCCTCCATTACAGGCGCTCTATCCCAGCTGCAGAGCGTCTGTCCGTCTGTCTACTGTGAGTAAAAGGATTTATGTTTCTATTTTCACACCAGAGAACATCTTAAGGTCTGTCACCACCTGGGAACCTTCGTGCTGATTGGTTATCACGACCATAGACTGTATAAACTATAGACAACTTGGTCCCGCCTATCGTCTGTACACGGATTTGAAGCCGAATATTTCTCTGTATTTCCGTTATTTTTCTTAATTTCCTGAAACCAACATCGTTCAGTAGTGTTGTGCACATTCAGCGGGAGAGTCTCTGTGATGACGCTCGGCTCAAACAGCGTATCCCCCGGTGATCTACTCAATCTCTGTCCTCCCATAGGCTGTATCAGGTGTCAATCATAGAAAACATGAACCCCCTAATAACTTTTAAAAATGGAGCTGTACAGAAAAAAGAGGACTTGAGCACAAACCAGTCTGACAGTAACTACATGTCAACATCACAACCAGGGGGGAGAAACATTTATATTCTGTGTCATTCATTTATAAAGTTCGTCCACAGCTCCATAAGGAGGCGGGGTTTATGACCTATACTGCAGACCACCACCAGAGGGCGCTGTTCTCAGAGTTGTTTTACCCATCGAGGAGGCAGACAACATCTGTACTATATATTTATATATATATATACAGTCAATGATCATGACGCAAATATCCACTCTAGTTGAGATATTTTTAACACTCGCAAATTTGCGTCATTCAGTAACTCGCTCAGAACGTAAGATTTGTGTGTCTCAATTCGTCTCATTCGCGCTGCCACAGCCATTTGATCGTCTCATCGCGTCTTTGCATTGACTTTACATGTATTTCAATCATGAATCAAAAATGATTTTACTCACGCTTGGTGTGAACGCTCCATTTCACAGCGTACAGCTGTTGGCAGTTTGATCATGTGTTTTTGTGCCATAAGACATGAAATATGTTCAGAAAGAAGGACAAGAACTTCTGCTGTGTGTGTGTGTGTGTGTGTGTGTGTGTGTGTGTGTGTGTGTGTGTGTGTGTGTGTGTGAGGAAGGACAAGTTGAAGGAGAAAGGAAATAACAGATCAGATCTCTTATCAGCTCTCTTGGTGTCAACAGACACATTTAGACCGGAGCAATGAGCCAAAACACACACACACACGCACACACACACACACACACACACACACACACACACAGCTGTTTTCTCACCATTGTCTGTGTTTGCGTTTGGGTTGATGTGGCGTTTATTGGTGCACATGCACTCCAGGTGATCCTCCAGCTTCACCTGCACCTCCCTCAGCTTGGGCCGCCGCCGCACGTACTCCACCTTCGCCACCTGGAGAAAGACGGAGCGAGCAGAAGACTCAAACTGAGGGACTGAAAGTAAGACTCCGACGTACTAGACGGGTAAATCTATGGATTTCCTCACAGGAGATTCAAGGTTTAGGTATTTCTTAATTATTATTTCGGATTACTCAGAAGTGAAACTCTGAATGGATTTAACGGGTCTGAACATAAACTGCAGGTGTGAGCATGTCTGCAGCTGAAATGTGCGCATTAAAAACCAAACAACGTCTTCTATTGGTCCACATTTCTGCACATCCTCTAGGTATCAAGAAAGGGGCGGGGCTTAGCGAACAGACGATGACAGACGCTGATTCGTAAACACTGATCGTGGTTTCATCGGGACTTTCAGATTTTAATTTTCTGCTGTTAAAAAAACGTTTCATGAAAATAAATTCCAGTCTTGAGCTTTTCCCTTTTTTTCTGGACTCCAGCTGTGAAAACAAACAGGTGAGTCTGCTCTTGTCTGACGGATGAGTGGCGCTCTAACCCTGCCAAGAAAATCCGTTTCACAGGCTTTCAGTGAAGAATGATTTGTTTGGTGTAAACACTCGCTCCGGTGTCTGAGAATGGAAATCCACGAGCGTACACATCAACATACCCAGATTAGTGTAAACACTGACACACCGTTTTGCTAATGCTCACATCCCAGACGTGGAGCCAAGTCGGGGAAGCTCCAGGTCTGATTGCAAAAGCCCCTCTGCTTCAAGTCTGAACAGCGCAAACTTCAACAACAGCAGGTCGGGAGGTTCAGCTCAGGTGAGGAGCTTCGAAGGTGAGCGAAAGTGACTGTAGCTTAGATTTCAGCCTCTACAGCGAAACAATCATAAATACTTCAAATTAATTAAGGTAGTATTACTCACAGGTCTTGATCTCTTTAGGTAAAATGAAGTAGATCCAATAACAGTCATAAAACACATCACAGTTTCACCTGTCGCACACAAGCACCAGGAGTAGGGCTGGGCGACAAACTGAAATTTTACAGATACTACAATTAACGTCAATACCCGACAAATTACAGCTCTGATCTCAACGGTGAACGGTTCGCAGGTTAGAACATGGATGCAGGGAAAAAACTCAAGGAGAATTCGGATATTTAGAGTTTCAAGTGTGGGGCAAACTTTCGACATCACCTTCTTTTGACTGAATCTTTAGACTCTGTTCATTAAAACGATTCGTTCACTGAATCAGTCAGTTCTCCGGAACCCCACCCTGCCCCTGCAGTACACCAGTGAGTGACACAGCGGCGAGTTTGTTCATTAGCCCCTCCCCTCCCCTGCTGATGAAGTCACAGTGTCGTTCTCTGGGTGACTCATGTCGTTCATTCGCCAAGTCCTGAAGGAAGAATCACTCCCCTGCCCTGAAAAACTCACCTCTCTGTGTGTCGCCGTCTGTCCACGGAAACAACACAGCAGCGAGCAGCACGCCGCTAAACGAGCACGAGTCGTCGTTCTTTTATATCGTGGAAAAGTGGAGAGATTAAAAATAAATAAAGATGTCAGCTGTAGCGAGGATTCAGATACTTTTAAAGATATCAAATATCGTATTTCTTTAAATTAAATTAAATCTTCTTACAGGAAAGTTTAAACACGTGTTTTACTGTAAAGGCGCCATAATGACCTGTTTTATCTTAGTCAACCAACCACAGCTCGACAGGAAGTGAACAACGCTACACCCCTCCCTCCTCTGCCTGAATAAAGTCGTTCAGAACCCGTTCATTTCGTTCACAGTCTGACTGATAGCAAATCACGAGACTCCGCCCACTTGCTGGCTGTGTGTGTGTGTGTGTGTGTCGTTCACCAAAGAGTCAGAAGGCGGCAGTTGACACGCTCACGGCTGAGCTCAACTGAACTGAGAAAGGAACGAATCAGATTTTGGAGTGATTCCGTTCACGTCGTTCACTCAGCAGTTCGGTTCTTTTGAACGAATCGTTCATGAACGACACGAAACTACAAAGAGGGACAGACAGGTGAGGAGATGGAGGACGGAGAGGAAGTTGGAGCGGCTGAAGTAGACGAAGTTAAAGTGGAGTAGTTTGATGTGAACTTATCAATATATCGTGATATTGATTTGAGGCCATATCGCCCAGCCCTAACCATGAGCTCCCTGACCTCCTGCTCTAACACGGAGACCTCAGCAGGCTCTGGTGTAGATATACTGACTCTCACACCTGAGGTCGTATCCCGACATAACCTCAGTCAGGATACGCTGCTGATGCTGATGTTATCTTTGTATCTCCGTGTCTTTCTGTGTCTCTCACACATGGACACAAATCTTAAACCTCAGCCCTGCCATTTCCCCTCCGGCGCTGCGTGAACGCGTCTTGCACTCGTGACTGTTTACCCTCTGCAGGCTGCACATGTGAGTGACTTTATTTTTGATTTCCTCTGTGAGCAGAAGACGGACGAGTCCTTTCATCTAAGACCGAGCGTATCAGCAGGCCAAACTTCTCCTCTGTGCATGAAGACTGATGTTTTTACTCTTCACAGACTTTTAATTTAGTAATAAGAATAGCTGTTTTTAAAGGTAGAGTATGCAACTCTAGCAAAAGTTTGTTTACATTTTTAACAGTCAGAAAAAGTTTGCCTCAAATGCGTGAATTCAGTCGAGTTAGCGGACTCTTCATCCAACTTTGGTCAACTTTATATCATTAAACTTTCTCTGAAATCAGCTTCCTGTTACTAAAACTCAAACACACACACACACACACACACACACACACACACACACACACACACACACACACATATATCAGGGTCAGCTCCTAGTTGGCAGGTTATGACTGTGAACCAATCGGCTTATTTCCAGCTCTGGCAGACATCTAAAGGAAGTTTTAATGTTCTTAAAGAAACTCACTGCCAGACTTTAGATCCAAAACACACAAACACACAAACACAACAACACAACAACACAACAACACAACGACACAACGGACGAGGACGTGAGAGTGATCGTTTTTGGCAGGTTTAGTATACCTTCAGTTAAGTTTATAATACTCTGTAGTTTGGAGTGTGAGTGTTGACATGAGCTTTATACTAAAAACACCAATAAATATTCATTCATAGAATAAAACTCGACCAGCTTCATAAACGTTCCTGTTGTCTTCGTTTCTTACCTTGACCGTGCGATGGTGCTTTCTGGCCGCCTGACACCTCATGTTGCTGGTGTTGCAGCAGCCGGTGCAGCGCTTCACCTCGACGCAGGGGGGCCAGATGATGAAGTTAGCCGAGGTGGGGTCCACCTGGCTCCTGGGGATCTCGTAGATCGTTGTCCGCACCTTACAGGACGCCGGCAAGGCCTCTTCTATCACTGCGGGGGAATCAGAGAGGGCGAAGGTCGGAGAGTCGAACATGAACTTTGAGACTTTTTATGTCAAGATGAGTTTCATGGATGTCGACATGTTTTCCTGTGACCTTGACGGCGTGCGTGTGTGTGTGTGTGTGTGTGTGTGTCTCACCAGTGCTCCTCCTGTGTCTGGTGTGTGCGTGCGCTCGCTTCAGGTCAGGAACGCTGTGAGAGAAGTCCTTGTAGTAGCTGTGTTTGGTCTCCTCGATCACCTCGTTCTCTGGAGACAGACGAAACAACACGTCCACATTGAGACTTCAGGTTTGTGCGATTAACAAACATTCCCAGAAACAAACTCAGAAATCTACCTGTTATTGTCAGGATACTGTAGGTGAAAGAAGAAGCTCAACAAAACATCCTGAAGTCCGAGCGACTGAGCGACTAACAGGATGTTTACGCGGCGCAGCAGCAGGTCCTTTATTACCGACATCTCTATCAAGTCTCTTTTGAAGGGAGGGCAAGCTTAACCAGGTTATCCTAAGTGAGTTATGATGTTTATTTCTGTCAGTAGGTTACTGGGTTCAGTGAAGCCCGTGAGTGCTTATATTAAATATAAATGAAAACCTAATTCATCAGGAGTTCAGTCTGAGGTCGCTCCAGAACCGAGAGGGAGCGGAGAAAACAGGAATCACTATAAAAGACGGACAGTAATCGGTTAATAAACCAAAGTGAATTTCTGTCTAAGTGCTGAGATTGAGGATCAGTCTGAGCGTTCATGTGGGTCCTGGGTGTTTTTGTTTGACCTGCGTCTTTGGTGGGATGTTGTCTTTAATTTTAGAGTTTGAGTTTCCAAACACCGTTGTGAGTCTTTCAACCATCAGTTTCTGTTCGTCTCCTTAAATCTTCCTCTTTTACCCTCGTCTGAGAGGTAAACCGTGAAACAGGACTCGCTGA